CAATCCATCCATTTGTCAAAATTTATTAGAGCAAGCAAGTTAGGGAAGTTAAATTTACATTTGCAAACCAAATCATAACTAATAAATATTCGCGGGCCGTGATCGAAAGGCTTCGCGTAACTTCTCTATCGAGCGTTGGGCGGTAAAACAATTGGTCACTAGGCGGCTTCTTTCTTTGCCAATGAAAAAGTTTTCTTTTCATTAAATTCTGCTCAAATTTAAAGGCAACTATTAACTTTTTTAATCTAGGTCATGTATGGTTTTAGCTTCCATTCATCAATGGCCTTTGGAATACTCAAAAGTAGCGGTGTTCAAATAAAGCTCGAACGAAATCAAACCGTCCTTGACAAAGCGAGTCAATCTACAGCGTTAATAGTTTTCCGGACAGTGAAAACCGTGATTGGAAAAGCTTTTTTCGATCAATGTTTGCTGAAACCGAAAAGTGGATGAAAGTATTAAAACCGAACAGCCTCGGGGATGCGCCGAAATCGAAATCGCACAGAGATTTCAACTACTATTTAGAATGTCATAAATACATAGTAGCTGTCTGGGACATTTCAAAAATATAAATATACTAGCTTCGCTGGGCATTTAAAATTAACATTACTATTTCTCTCCCACAAAGACTCTCATCATTAACGCCCCCGCAACTGGTGTAGGGAGTCCAACACTCATATAAATGTTAGCCTATCCATTAGGTACATGTATTTTCTACATGGATACCAAGTTTCAAGTCAATCGGATGCATGGTTCAGTAGTTATAGCAAAACATCCGTAAAAACCACTATGGATTTATGTATTAGTATAGATTTAACAAAATGTTAAATTCTACAGACAGCTTTGAAAACGGATCGTTCAGTGCGCAACAAACTGAAAGTACTGAAACACATAACAATTTAATTCCGATATAATGTCATCAATTGCTAGTTTGTGTCGTCAACGTCATGAAATAATTCATTCAATCCAGTCGTCATTTCTACCTAGTATATTTCAACTGATATCATTTCTACCTAGTATATTTCAGCGGTCATTCCAGATATACGTTAAACCTGACTTAAAACGAATGCTGTTACCGCGGCTATGTGGTAGGCGTATTATTGGAAGATCAATATCGTTTTTTGTTTACTGACAATGACTGATGGGATATGACTGGATATAGAAAACTTTTAAACACTAACGAAACTGATAATACATCGATTATGAGTGTTGTGATGTTTCTTTATACCTAAAAGTGCTGATTTGTATATGAAAAAATATTTAGGGGCGTACTTATGTATTAAAAAAAATATTTACGAGACACTAAGTCTCCCGGTGTAAATCCTTATTCGTAATATTGTTTAGTGGTTTTACCTTTCACATGCCCTTCCGGCACATGATATTCTATTGATGACAATATTATGATATTCGCTATTACTCACATAATAGATGCCCGCTATGCTGCATCATACAATAAGAAAATAGAATTTAAAGTTTTCCAAAAAAAACGCTTTATCCTGTTTTACTTTTTCTTCTGTTTAAAATATTAAATTTTTCTTTTAAATTAATACACTAAAATCATTAAACTTTTAAATTACAAAACCAGTGTAGGGCAAAATAAATAGAAATTTCTGGTGAAAAAATGTCTTAGACAATTTTTTTTAGTTATTTTTATTTATAACGCTAGGTGCGTAGGCGTCTTACAGCCAGCCTTCCTGGTGTTAAGTGGTTGAGTCATGAGATCAGAGGCTGATTTTTTCTGATATAATGAGTGTACGATCTTTCAATTCTGAACGCATGACTACTTCGCGGTAGAAATAGTTAGGATATTAGAGATTAACGGTGTGTTCAAGCAATATGCTCTATATTATTTTGGAACATTGAATTACTGGTTCATCAGTCTTCCCCAAATGTTAGGGTTGTGACGTACCATACCTCAGGTACGTTGTACAAAATTATTGACAATCGCAAACAATCAATCCCAAATCATTTCACAAATAACTTAGGCGATATTCTGTGAAGCTCTTTTCGTCTGGATACATTATATTTCTATCCAAAACAAGAAGCCTCAGTAAACGATAAGCCGTTCGCAGGAGAAAGAAAAAAGATGTTGTGGAAATTGTCATCAATAACACAGATTAGAGAACGTATGGGAGACTAATTAATGGGTATAAGTGTGATCGAGTTTTGTTCCAGTCCGTTTAAATTGATTACATCGTTGCATAGTTTGTAATCAATGTTGTTGCGTAGTCTTTGTTGACCTTAATAGGAGACTATAGCAGTAGCTTTATTGTGTTAACATGCAATGTTTTTGTTACCATACTGCCGTTGTACTCGTAACTATACTGAGACCTTAGAACTCATAATATTATTATCTCAAGGTGGGTGGCGGCATTTACGTTTTAGATGTATATGGGCTTCGGTAACCACTAAGCATCTAAGCAAAAAAAAAATTTTTTTCAATTCAAATTTTTTATTTATCAGTGTACTGGAATTTATAAAATAAATAAATAAATAAATATTTACTAACAATCACGCCACGTTAACTGGTCCCGTGCTAAGTTCGTAAAGAACTTGTGTTACAAGTACCAGATAACGGAAATAAATATAATATTTTTATCATACACATACATATATTTAATATACACCCATAACCCTGGAAAGACATTTATATTTATCATACAAATATCTTCCCTTGGCGGGATTCGAACTCGCGACCCCCTTGTGTAGTGACCATGTCACTTACCACTACACCAGACGGCCGTAAACACGTCAATATGTAAATATGTAGTTGATTTTGAAACATGAGGCATTTTGAGACTTCAATCAGAGTTGTATTACTAGAGGAAGTACATACAAATAATTTATTGGTAGATATTATTAGATTTTAGGTATTCAAATTTTAACGTATGTATTTAGATGTTTCATTTTGAAAAACTTACAATTAACCTGAATACAATAGTGCGGGTTCTTGACTGGGATTTGTTGTAAAACAATTATAAAGTACATTGCGATATTTACTTTACTACTGAATAGCTAAACGTTACTGTGGAACTATGAGGTACACGAGAATAAACAAGAACTGGAAGGAGCGCAGTTTTCATTTAGTCGAGTGTCTGAATGGCAAAATGTCTGTTTCATTTCAACTAATGAAATCCCGGAACAAAGCGCGTATAATTAAATTTTGAATAAAGGTACATTATATTTGTCTAGTAACTATGTATTTTCTGAACAGTTACAAAATTATGATTTCTGTCTTAAATGGGAGCGCGGCGACCGAATCATGAAATTCCGTAACGAAAAAAACCTTACACCCCTCACTCCGCCTACCATGTAGCTCGCGTTCAACACATTCACACGTTGCGCTTGTGTAGTGTTTGTGAATAAGCGCGTGGCGTGACGTCACACTGCATGCGCATCATAAAAAATCTGCCCATCTCTCTCTCGCGCGGTCTAGCTTATGAGTGTGAAGGGGACAGTTAAGGTTTTGCTTTTATTAATGTTGAATATAGCGTGGTCTTGTTTTATTATTGTTTTAATATTAAATTATCATGGTCTAATTATAATTGCATAAGTTGATAAAAAATGCTATGCAATAGCTCTACCACGGCAGTTCCCGAGTGCCATACGTCTTTTTTTTACTTTTGCACGATTCTTTATTTACAAATAATACACATGCGGTGCATTTTGTCGGTAAATCTCAAGTTACGGAACGTGTTTAATTTGTAAACTAAATTTTAAATCTACAGCTAAAAATCAAAGTCAAGCATTAAAAAAATATATTTAGGGCTACATGCGTCGTGATTCGGCGTAACGTTAAAATTAAATAACCTACAGCCGACTTTTCGCCGAAATCACCATTGTTGTTTTATTGTGGTTCGTGCTTCGAAATCTTTTCATGGGACAAAAAAAGTTTGGTCATACCATTCTCATATTAAGCGTACGTGTTGCTATGCTCTGTATACAAAGGATTCGTAATTGGCTTATTGCCATTTTATTAACAACGCCCTTGAAGGGAACTTGACTTTGATTGAAAATTGGCTCCATAGTTAAGTGATTTCCGTCATTTTCAATAAAATAACCAATTCGATTTTTTTTTCATTAAAGTTTTCATAGTTGTCTTAATATACGGTCGATCTTATTGTGATCGATCCCTATAAGATATTTTTTTCAAATACGAAGTTTATTTAGTATGTAGTTTGTACGCTAAAGCATTTGTTATTCCAACGTATCTAAGTTTTCAACTTCATTACTCAAGAAGGACAGCAGATTACTTTTATGACTTTTAATGTACCAATTACTTGGAGATATGTATGTGTATATGTATGTGTACATATATGTATATGTATTTCACTGGAATGGTACACCGCGCGTAGTTTGTTTCCAAATGATTCTTGTCCACCTGATGGTTGTCTGGAAGAGATCGCTCTTAGCGATAAGACCGCCAATTGTACTTTTTTTGTTTTTAATTTATCGCACTGTTTATTTGTTTTTTGGTGTACAATAAAGAATACTCTCTCTCTCTCTCTCTCTCTCTTACGTTACTTGCAAGCTACTTTACCAAGGAAACCACTATCAGTACATATTTAGGTTTCTGTTCAATTTGTTTATCAATCAAATTATCACAGTACTACAATAAATATTTCGTTCGTATCTTACATTTTCGTAACGTCGGTATATATCGACGCTTGAAAGGCAAACGTGACTAATAAGCGACAATAACTGCTTTGTACATAAATGATAGGCAATAACCGTATTCGATGCGCAAATTCGGTAGGCAGCGGCTTGGCTCTGTCCCTTCTGAAGTCGAAGTCCATGGGCGACGGTAACCACTCACCATCAGGTGGGCCGTATGCTCGTCTGCGTTGCGTCAAGGAGCGTTGGGCTCATCTAGTCAATTTGTGTGACATTATAAAAGAGCGCGACGTTAAGTACGCGGCGCTAAGTACGCGTTCTGTTTGACGAAGGCTTAATATATCTTATGGGGATCAGAAAGTTTAACGAGTTTATTTGTTTGTTTACAGGTGTCAATAAGCGTTCGAAGTTAGAAGAGAGTTTCGTTTGAACCCCGGCCTTTCGATAATGAGCCTCGATGTTTAGACGGGACGGCAAGACTCGTTACGTGCGCGTGATCCTGAAGGCGAGGACCTGGAAACGCGTGCCGATGAGGCTTTTAAAGTGGCGCAAGAAAATGACATCGACGAAGGAATACAATTTGGTGCCGAACGATGAGTTCGATACGAGGATCCCTTTGCATTCGGATGAGGCTTTCGATTACGGGATCGCCTTTCAAGCTAAGGTACGTTAAATTGTTAAGACGATGTAGCCCCTTTGTTACAGCATCTCTAAGTGAAACTTTATTACGACGATGACAAAGCTCTTTTCCTCTTCAAAACATTTTAGGGTTGAACGATTTTCTATAGAGACAACTTATATTTTAATAAACGCAAAGAAACGATCATTTGAATTAAAGATCTCGAAATATGTTTTATAAGTTGCCTCACTGGTCCCCTTTATAGTGGACGTTTTCAAAATCCTCTCAATATTATTATCGGTTATTATTATGGTATACTAGCTGACCCGGCAGACTTCGTAGTGCCTCAATCGATAAATAAATGACCTAAACTTTTGTATATAATAAACCAAACAAAAGTAATCCGTACGACGGGGGACACATCAAAGAAAAAACAAAATTGTTATTTTTATTTACCTTTTAAACCTTCTCTGGACTTCCACAAATGATTCAAGACCAAAATTAGCCAAATCGGTCCAGCCATTCTTGAGTTTTAGCCAGACTAACGAACAGCAATTCATTTTTATATATATAGATTTAACAGTACACGTTTGAAAACAGCAGTCATCCGATTGAAAAGAAATCGACATTTAAATTTGTTTATCATTTATATTCTTAAATCTCATTCCGGTATTTAGCGAACTGCTTATTTCTGCCCTGTATGAATATGTATTACAGTTTGATGTGTGGAACTGCCGTGATGCAATATAAAATACTTCAGACTTCGATTTCATATTGTTCATGAGGAGAGCATTTACGTTGTGACATCTACAGGCTTATTACCAAGTAGGCCCTGTAATGCAGCAATTAAAAATAATTCTGTATTTATTTATATTCAAATACCTATCGAAGCTCAACATTATCAATGCAATCTCGAAACAACTAAAAAGATCGCTTTCCTGGAAGCTTTTCCTGAATACCCAAGTTTTGTTTACGTTAAAACAAAACACGATTCGATAACTCTGAAACGGAGCCGCTGCTGTAAGTAATCCAAAAGTCATTCCGAAGTAAATAAAACAATCCTAAATTGAATTACTACCCTTTCGACTTCTTGTCTTTTATTATTCGAGTTCGGAATTGAATTATAAACTAAAACTCGACGTCTTGTTCCCTCTTAGGATGAATATTTTATCTTGTCGTATTTGTAGTAAAAACTATCTGTTGTGTTTAAAAATCAGGAAAATTTATTCATTTCAATTTAAAAGCTTGTGGAGGGTAGCCATCGTACAACGCAAGATATTTGACAGATGCCTGAATCTCGCTTACCTACGACATTTTCAAGACAAGCTTGCATATATACAAGTTCCGAACAACAACATTTGCTCGCTCGGTGAAAGATCTTCCTTTCGTTTGGCAACTCAAAAGTCCTTTATTTATTTTTAATCAGAAGTAAATCTGTGAAGTTTCGAGCTTTATAGTTTGAAAATGACCAACCTCAAAACAGTCACACACACACACCTGATTATACCAGCTTAAAAATTCCCAAAAATTCCCAAAAAAAACTTCATAAATGACTTACAACATTTATTGTTGCTAAATTTTATGACGCAAAATCTATTAAACAAATCTGACTACTTGTATTTTATGTTAAAATCAATATAACAGAAAACATATCGAAGTATTTATTAGCAGTCTAATAACTATGTTATAACATATCATTATGAACGTTAAAAGAGAGTGAAACGTAAATTTGTTTCATTTCATAGACGCTGTGTCTAAAACCTGTTTGTCTGAACAGGTGTCAATAAACATTCGGACGGACCGGCTCCCTAAGCGTGGCTTCATATATTCGTAGGGTCTATGTTTTCATCACTCTGTGAGAGAATCTCTCTAGAGATCAAATACCAGACATTTTATTCAAATTTCAAAAGGTAGATCAATTTTTATATCTAATATATGTTTTTTTTTTCTTCTTTTTTTATTCATATCTATTGCTCTCTTGTTTATTTATGTAAAGACTCAAGCAGTTTTTATTAATTATGCCGTAATTTAAGACTTAGTTTAAGATAGATTTAAGTATCTTAATTTAAGATTTAATTTCTCTTAATTACGTCTGCGTTCTTCTTTTGAACACAACAAGATAATAACAAATAGAGAGATCAGATAAATAGTAGTAAAAGGGAATATAGTTTAAGCACACTGGAAACTGCCAAAGCTTCTCAATAAAGTTTCTGTGTTAAATCATACATAAGTTATACATAAGATCACGTTTGAGATCACGGCAAAGGGCAGACCTAATCTGTATTTATATATATACATATGTACATATAAAGGTGAACTTTGAAGAAAAACAAGTTGATATCAATCTCTTAGAACTCTAGCTAATGAATACTAATAATGAACTGAAAATACCTGTCAACGACGCACTCCACCAAGCTACAGAACGGGATTGATGGAGACAGCTAGTTGACGGAATCGGAGGGTTTTTTTTTCCTACCTATGCTGATAATCTTGAGAGGCTATTTCAGCTTCGCCCTAACGTTTGTAGGTGAGCTCACGGGGCTCAAACCGGAGAGTTGCTAACACTGACCCTAGCAAGTGCAGTGCTCTGCAAAATTTACGGGTATGTAGTTTCCAGCGGTCACGACAAGAGGATTCTCATGTCGTGCCGCCTTCTCAAAGTTGCGCAGCGATGCTGACTGTAGATGCTTACTAACGGAGTCGAGCCCCAGGTCATCGTGGAGATCCACTTCCTCAGGAACCATGATGCTCCGACGGCTATCCTGCAGAATCGGATTGAATAACCTGAAGGGATTTCAAGTGGGTGCGGGCCGCGTGAGCGAACACTACGCTTGCATACGTCATGACGGGACGTATGTAAGTTTTGTAGAGAGTTACCTTGTTGCGGAGGGACAGTTTGCTTCGTCTACAAAGTATAGGGTAGAGTCGTCCTAGTATAAAAGCGGCACGATCGCGTACCGTTTTAATGTGGGGACGGAAAGTCATCTCTCTGTCGAGAGTGACGCCTAAGTATTTGACCTTCAAGGCCCACGGTATAGGCTGACCAAAGAGAGTGATGGGGCTAACGGCGGAGGCGTTTGCGCGCCTATTAGGGGGTGGGATGCTCGAAGTGGTATTCGGAGGGCGACTCCTTTTGAAGAGCACCGCTGTGCTTTTCGTGGGGTAGATGTCGATGCGGCACTTCCGGAACCACTGTCCCATGGTGGCTACTGCGATCTGGAGACGCCGATGCAGGAACGACATCTTCCTACACGAGAAGTAGATAGCCGTGTCATCGGCAAAGAGCGCTAGATGGATCTACGGAGACTGGGGTATATCATTGATATACAAACTAAATAATAACGGGGAGAGCGCGGAGCCTTGCGGGACTCCGGCAGCCAGTTGACGGGGGCGAGAGCGAGTTCCCACTACTCGATATCGAAACGAACGGTTCGACAAGAAGTCTCGTATGATGAGCAATCGGACGGAGTCACGATCCTCAGCAATGACGGACCGATTGAAGAACGAGATAGAGAACTCTAGCACCAAACATTGACGTGACGAAAAGTGTGTGTGTTTTTTTTTTTAACAAACTATAATTTTACGGTACCTTTTTTGGTGGGAGGTTGTATCACGTATTGAGAAAAGATATTTAAAAAAATATGGATTTCTTGAGTTTTTGGTATCCAGAAGCCAAACTAATTACTTTATTGTCCGTATGACACAGTAATTTTACTTGTAGACATTATCGACAATTATTGACAAAGTTACATAGTTGAAAATTGAAGGTTAGGTGTGTTCTATGAAACTCTAGTCAGGGTGTGGCTTACTAGGCTGTAAGTAATTGGTTTCTTTACTTAAGTTTGATGGTTATTCGATAATTTTGACAAATTTTCTTTTAGATTAGTTCCACGATTCATTGTAAACAAGACTTTTGTTAATTTATTGTGAATAAAATATGTATTTATATAAAAGTTGATTTATCGTTATTCTTGTTAGTTTGTTGTGAACACTATAGTATCTACATTATATAAAAGTTAATTTATTGTACTCTTTTTTATGTTGCATTTATAGTTAATTGTTATGCAAACAATTTTAATACTCAATGTTGGCAAAGTCGCGGTATGGACAGTAAAATAACAAGGGAAGCAGGCTTAAAAACGGTGAATCGTATCGAAACATATTATAACCTGTTTTATAAGTCGATTTTGAATTAAAAGAACGAAAAAGGTTCTTACCTTACTGCGTATCTTATAATTTTAAACGAGCAATTCATGTATATTAATATATATATAATCTGAATCTCGGAAACGGCTCCAACTATTTTCATAAAATTTAGTATACAGGGGATTTCGGGGGCGATAAATCGATCTAGCTACGATTTATTTTCAGAAAATGTTGTTTTATTCGTGTTTTCAATAATCAACTCTTCCCGACATGTATTGGCGAATAATAATACTATTTTTCTTAATTGAGGGCAATTAACCGCTTTAAAGACACAACAAGAAGGCGTTATCAAAAAAAGCCGAGTAAAGCTCGGTCATCATATAGTGCTTTTTTATTTAACAACTACAAATTTAGATTTTATTTGAACCGGTAACATAATGGCTGCCGCAGCATGAGAGTGTTAGTAAAAATAAAATGGTCCTCCGTAAAGAGGTCCACGGCACCGTGAAGTCTTCATTCAAGTGCGGACATACAATAAGACGGCACAAAGAGCCTTTTCATAGAATAGCGCTTACAAGTTCCGCGCCATCCCGAAATCTCGCCATATTACTCAGCCACTCTGCAACCACGTTTAGTGGCTTACGAATGTTTACAAGAAGCGGAGACTCTGCAACGAATATTCATTTATCTCACTTAATTGTTTTTATTTAATTGAATTAGCATTCACGATTTAATTTCGCGTTGGTTATTTCTGAAGCTTTGAATAGCTTATAGGTTTCGTGGCCCACTTATCATTGACATTTATGTTTCTTTTGCACACAGAGAAAACTAACAATATCTTAAAGTATAGTAATTTATTTGAGTAGTCTTTTCAAATTTTCGATTAGAGGATTCCATAT